ATTCCTAGAATGAACATTACTCCTTCTGATCTTAGGGTTCCTTTCAAGTTCCAACGACGGCAATTCCCAATTATGGTTTCGTATGCCATGACCATAAACAAGAGTCAGGGACAGTCTTTATCGCATGTTGGTCTTTTTCTAAAGAAACCTGTCTTTAGTCATGGGCAATTATATGTTGCTGTTTCGCGTGTAACTACTAGAAGGGAGTTGAAGATATTAGTTTGTGAGAATGACGAGTTGCCCAGTAATCAAACTCACAATGTTGTATACAAGGAAGTCTTTAATAATATATGATTGTTTCTTTTTCGAATATTATCTTATTGTACAATTTTCCTGCGTATTAGAAAATTTTTATTGAATATTGCATCTTATAATATAAAATTCCCCAAATAAATATATCTCATGCCTCGCACGTGTCACGTACTATATATATACAGTACATTTTTCTGTTTTCATGTATATGATTATAACCCTGGATTAATAACCTTAAAGATTGTGCACCCCGTGCATCGCACGGGCTCTGTACTAGTTATTTCTGGAGAGGAAATTTTTATTCATATAATAATAATAGTAATAATAATAATTTGTATTTAAATTATGGTAATAGAATTGGACGAACAAAAAGGAGATGTAAAATGTTCTGGATCATATCACAATATCAGTGAAACAAGTTGTCCAGTAAGATGAAAATGGAATTTTCTATTTCCAATCTGCCCTCAAATTTATGTTAAGCATTGTATCACTATCATTATTGGTACATGATGAAATTATTCCAGACGCAAAATTATTGGAAGTGACTAAAAAAAAGTATCAGATTCATGCATGAATAACCAAAGGAAGGAAATATCTCGAAAGCATATATGCATTCTACTGTTCTACATCTATAAATTAATCTCTGCACACATTTCAGCAAAGGCAAGATTCAACAGGGGCAAATTCAAAAAGAAAATATATAATTATAGAATAAAAATAAGAAAAAAGATGCTCAGAAACAGTGAGCTCAACGGTACCAGTTATTACAGTCAGGGTCCAAGATCGCCCATGGATGATTATCTCGAACGCATTACAAGAATGCAACGAACGCCTACCGAAATCACTGATTACCCGCACTTCCCAAATGTGCACGAAATCTTCATAAACAACCTAACACATGCTGACAATCAAAAGAGCCAAAACCCAAAGCCGTCCAAGAAAGTTCACATTGTTGAACAGGAAAAGGACACTGAAGCTGGTAAACACGAAAAAGTCAAAGTCATTCAAGGTAAGACTATTGATTTTCAGGCCGATGGGTTCATCAAGTGGAATCACAAGAATTTTGCATTGTGCAAATGGGATACTTTCAAGGGTTAGTATAGTGAGATCATGTGTTTCTGGCAGCTGAAGGGCATCTAAAAAACATTTGCTTAAATTTTAAGCTATGCTTTGACAAAGAAAATAAACTAACGACCTGTAGTCTGTGTCTACAGGTTGTGAAAGTACTTGATATGCTGCTTTTGTATTTTTCCAGTACTGTTGGTGAAAATCAGACAAATATCATTTCTGGCCACATTCTTGGTTTCACAGTTTTTTCGTCTAACAGCTCGATTTTCAGGTGATTTGCAATTGTATTCAAGTTTTAACTGACAGTTCTGAGGATAGGAAATGTCAGACTTAAGGTTCAATTCAATGCTTCTGTTGCTCAACATATCTTAATAACTTCAAAGAGAAGGTCAGTGAATGCAACAAACATGGTCATCAATCATCATAACTCATATGAAGATGAATTTCAATAAATTCAGACTTCAGAGAAAAATAACAACATTCATGCCACATAATCTTCATTTATCTCTCTTTTTCGAAACCACAGTTTACCCATGATCTGAAATCTAAAGATTAAATTTCCATTTGAATCCCCTGTTCAAAACTACAGATCACCACTAATCTGAAATCTGAAGATTAAATTTCCTGAATACCAAGTTATAGCATATTGGTCACAGCTATCACTTATGAGACGTCACAAGCACGCTAAGATGAATGAAGCATAAATTTCTTTTAGGCTGAAGATTGGCATACCTCCACATGATACCTGGTATGATCCATATCATGCAAAGAAACAAGATTAGATAATATAAACGTTTAGGAAGCTTTTCAAAAAAAAGAAAAAAGAAAAAAAAAGTATCTTGCAATAATTTGAACACATTGCCTTTGGCAGAACAATGGCATGATTTACCATTGGAAATTTGATTCACCTGAACTGAATGCAACAAGTTGTTCAAGTTATGCAAAATGAAAATCTCAATTGCCCCAAGTGATCAAATATTTATATTTCAAACAACAATTACCAGTGGAAGAAAAACAAAACAATCAAGACAAATTCAGATATACCATATGTTCTATTCCAAACGGCATCAGAATAAAACCTTCGAACTCAGACTAACATCCGCACACTGCAGGAGGCACATCCCATTTTTTCCCCAAATAAATAAGGTGTGACAAATTACTCTAGCAATAAAATGAAACAAATGAAAGCTTAACAGAGTAAATTTTAACGTAACAACATTCTCAAGTTAAACTAAATCTGCTTATCCATGACAATACGCAACCTCAAAACCTTCAATCATATACGATAATCCGCATCAACATCCACAATCAAATTCTAGAAAGAAAACATATCAGTCAAACATTCGAAAGAAAATGAAGCTTTAAGAAACATAGCCATCTTTACCATTCACCGTCCGTTTTACTCGATAATGGACTGAATGACACCGGCACCCACAGTCTTCCCACCTTCCCTGATAGCGAACCTCATCCCCTGCTCGCAAGCAATGGGCATTATAAGCTCAACCTCCATCTTCACCCGGTCACCCGGCATGACCATCTTCGACTCTTCATCCTTGTCGTTCATGATCGTGATCACTTTCCCGGTCACATCGGTTGTTCTCATGTAAAACTGAGGCCTGTAGCCTGCGAAAAACGGGGAGTGCCTCCCACCCTCTTCCTTTTTCAGCACGTAAACAATAGCCGAGAACTTTCTGTGAGGCGTGATGGTCCCGGGCTTGGCTAGAACCATACCCCTCTCGATATCAACCTTCTGAATACCTCTCAGCAATAATCCAACATTGTCCCCAGCCATTGCCTCGTCAAGGGTTTTCTGAAACATTTCGACACCAGTAACAGTAGTGTTCCTGGTCTCACGCAAACCCACAAGATCAATCGTCTCGCCAATCCTAACGGTCCCTCTCTCTACCCTCCCGGTGGCCACTGTCCCACGGCCGGTGATCGAAAACACGTCCTCCACTGCCATCAGGAAGGGCAACTCTGTCTGCCTCTGAGGGATAGGGATGTAATTATCCACCTCGTCCATCAACTGGTAGATTTTGTCCACCCACTCATTTTCTCCTCTCTTAATCCCGGGGTTTGCAGTTAGAGCTTCAAGGGCGAGCAAGGCGGAGCCGGAAACAATGGGGACGTCGTCGCCGGGGAATTCGTACGAGGAAAGCAACTCTCGGACCTCTAATTCCACCAACTGGAGCAACTCTTCGTCATCGACCTGGTCTTGCTTGTTCAGGAAGACCACCATATTGGGGACACCCACCTGTTTAGCTAACAAAATGTGTTCTTTGGTCTGCGGCATGGGGCCGTCGGCGCCGGAGACCACCAGAATCGCGCCGTCCATCTGGGCGGCACCGGTAATCATGTTCTTGACGTAGTCGGCGTGTCCGGGGCAGTCCACGTGGGCGTAGTGCCGGTTCTCGGTCTCGTACTCGACGGTGGCGGTGTTGATTGTAATGCCGCGAGCCCGCTCCTCCGGGGCAGCGTCGATCTCGTCGTACTTTTTGGGGGCAGAGTTTCCGAGGGAGGCGAGGGCCATGGTGAGGGCGGCGGTGAGGGTGGTCTTACCGTGGTCGACGTGCCCGATGGTCCCGATGTTGACGTGGGGCTTCTTCCGCTCGAACTTGCCGCGGGCGGCTCGGACGGTGAGGGAGCGGCGGCGGAGGAGGGAGGGGGGAGCGGCGGCGGAGGGACGGAGGAAGAGGTTGGTCGGCGAGTGGGTGAAGGCGGAGGACAGAAAGATTTTGGTGGGTTTTAGAGGAGCGTAGTTGGGGAGGGAAGGGTTGAAGGGGTGTGTGGGTTTGGCGAAAGATATGGCGGCGGCGAGAGAGGCCATGGCGACAATAAAAATGTGGATTAGGATTCACTGTGTGCGTGTGTGTATGTTTTTGGTATCTGAAGGAAGAAGGAGGACCCTCGTCAGTTCTGTGTTCTATCCGATTGCTACCTTCTCTTTAGGCGGCCAGGATAACACTATATTGCTAGGGTGTATGGGGTTTCTGTGCAACCGCTCTCATATTCGGACGCGTGGCAGGATATGTATCGCTTACTTTGTTTTTCTTTTTCTTTTCCCTTTTCTTATGTTCCCAAATTAGCATAAAAATCACCTTTTTTTTTTCTCTAGGCAAAACGTCGTCAATCAAAACCATTTTATTTTAATAAACTGAGTGAACAGAAAAAACTTCCCAAAAAGTGCCCTTTCTCTGCAACTACTCTACTACAAAAGGAAAAATAAAAAATGCTGTGTTCACATCAAATTGTTGAACTTGTTCACAAAACCAGCTTCTTGTTTACACTTACCAACACCAAAAACCTAGAGAGAGAAAGAAAGTGTGTGTGTGTGTGAGAGAGAGAGCGAGCCTGACATGGCTTCCTACGCTGCTGTAATTTCTCTTAAACAGACAATTGACCGTTTTCTGAAGTCATCGCGTGCTTCGATTCCTCCCCACACTCGAAAAATCCTAAAAGCGGTTTACAAGGAGGTGCAGTCCGTGCAGCAAGTCCTGACAAGGCTGGATATCCATGGCGGCAGCAGACGCAGCGAGAGCTTGTCAGTGTTTGATGCACAACTCACAGAGGCGATTCGTCAAACACAAGACGTGCTCGAACTCCACGCCTCCAATCAATCCGAGAAATCTTCCCTCGACCTGCGTGAGCTGAAACAGGATATCGATGCCCTGATCCGGACGATGCAAAGCACGAGGAAGGACTACAGTAGAGAATTTAGCAGCCTTTTGACTCAAGAAGATGACGGTGACTATGTTTTGTCAAGAACCAATTTTCTTGGGTATGAGTCGAAAATGGTTGGGTTATCAGACGAATTTGACCATCTCAGAGAGAAAGTTGTAAGACGGATTTCAGTAGAGGTAGACCATCAACATTTCTTGTTATCTGGGATGGCCGGCATCGGCAAGACCACCCTGGCAAAGAGAATCTTCCAAGACCCGTCAGTTTCAAACCGGTTCGACCTTCGCCTGTGGGTCCCCATTGGCTCTCGATACCGGTTAGAAGAAATCTTGAGGTGTATCATGGGTCAAGTGAGTGGTGACCACGAAACTCTTCCAAATTGGGGATTGGCCGAGTTTGTTTCTGGAAAACTAAAAAGCAAGTCATACCTTGTGGTGTTGGATGATATATGGAGCCATCAGGTTTGGTATGAGTTGAAAAAGTTGTTCCCAGACAACAAGAATGGGAGCCGGGTCCTGGTAACAACCACTACTGGAAAAATCATTCATTCATCATGAGAGACTTCGCCTGCTCAATTCCGATGAGAGCTGGTGCCTTCTTCGCGAGAGGGTGTTAAGAAGATTGCCAAAAATTGTGAGGGCCTTGCGCTCACAATACTCACGTCGCTAATCTCATAGCCGGTCAAAGAAATGCAGAGTATTGGACTGATGTAGCAGAAAACCGAAATTCAGCCTTCACTGAGGCGTATGACCTGATATCGGATGTACTACAACCACTTGCCCCAACATTTAAAGGCATGCTTTCTTTACCCTCGAGATTACGAGATCCCCCGCTCGAAGCTCTTTCATTTGTGGTTTGTCGAGGGACTTGTGGAGTCCAGTAGGTCTGAAGTGAACCAGCGGAGGATTTGGTCTCCGAGTATCTGGAAGACCTTGTGTCTAACAGTGTTGTCATGATCCGCCAGAAGGGCTCAGTTTCTCACCTGAACTTACCATCATATTACGTAATCAAGACCTGTGGCCTCCATTCCGCTTTTCGCCACCTGTGCGTGAGGGAAGCTGAGGGGAACAAATTTTTCCACATTTTCAACCGTCTTGAAGATGGGTTAGTGCATAAGACAAAGGGCCACCGCCGGTTGTGTATCCACAATAACGGCATAAAAAAGGTTTTTGACTCCTGTTCCCAATGCACGCTCTCTCCTATGCACCGGACCATACCATCAGTACCCGGTGCCAGTATGTTTCGGTCGTTTAAGACTTTTGACGGTTGTTGATGCTCCGTTTTTAGGAGTTCCCTTTGGAAGTATTGAAACTAGTTCAGCTGAGGTACCTTTCATTCACTGTGAACGAAAACCTACCCCCTTCGATATCTGACCTTGGTAATCTTGAGTACCTGATTGTCCTTCAACACTTGAGCATTGTGCCCTGTGAGACCCCATCATATCTACCTTTGGTGATATGGGATATGAAAGAGCTGAAGCATCTTCAAGTTAAAGGACGCGACTTGTCGAGTCCTTCTGAGCGTGGCGCCTTCTTGCCAAATCTCTCGACGCTTTTGGATGTGAGTGCTCACAGCTGTACCAAAGATGTTCTTCGCAGACTCCCAAATCTATGTAAATTAAGGATTCAGGCTGAAGTTGGGTCGGATGATGCTCGTCATAATAACCTCTTTAGCTGGTTCAATCACTTTTCTATGTTGAATCAGTTGGAATCACTTAAATTTGTCATCACAAATCCTTTGCTCGTACGCCGGTTGCCTCTACTATTTGATTCTCCTTCGAATCTTACCAAGTTGAGTTTGAGCGGGTTGGGTTACCCTTGGGACGAGATGAGTAAGATTGCCTCGTTGCCAAATCTCGAGGTACGCAAACTGCAGTGCTACGCATTCCGTGGCCCGAAATGGGGATGAAGAGAAAGGGATTCGTGGAGCTTAAGTTTCTGCTGAATGAGGATACTGATCTGGTGGAGTGGAAGATCGGACGTGGAAGCTTCCAGAAGATGAGGCAACTCTGCATCAGAAACTGTTAACAAGTTAGAAAAGTTCACTCCAGAATTCGGTATGCAACTAAACAGGATTGAATTGATAGACTGCGGCCCAGTGGTAGTGGGTAATGCACAGCAGATTGAAGAGCAGTTGAAGAGTAATCTATTTCGTTATTCTTTCGACGTTCGTGTTCGTTCTTCTTGGGAAACTCGGGCTGAAAACCAGTCACTTGAATAGAAAGGTTAGTCATCTAGTTACGTTAATGTTGATATGCAATTTGGTTCCGATTAAATAAATGATAAACGGAATAATAAAACACGGCCCGATAATCAAGGAGTCGAAAATACATAATAAATAAATATACAAACAAGTGGTACACAAGACTGATCATTCAAAAGTCGACCGGATGGAACAAAATTTAAAGTAATCGGATGTCACGAATATCATAAAGAAGCCTCCTCCGGTAGACGTCACAATTGTCGGGAAGATAGACGTCAGTCGAAGCCGTCAAAAGCCCCCCAATTGTCCATAACATTAAATGATAGTGTGTTATTATGGATCCATCCACTTGCAAAAGGGGATACATATATATAAAAATAGGAGAGAGAGGGGATCTCTTCTCGATCCTTCTTCTTCCCCACTAACAAAAAAGAGAGGAAAATTTTTCAAAAATAAAAGAAAGCGTCCATTTTAATCATTCTATTTTTCACTTTTCGCACAAGAAATTCGACTTATATTTTACGGTTGATCGTTCGATTTTCGACATCAACAAGTAATTTTGCAACTTATAGTATTTTTAAAGAACATTCATAATTTGCAACCGATTTGAATTTGCCGGTACTTATATCAAATTCAATACCTTCAAATGTAGGTCATTATTAATAATGAGGACACACACTTGCTGCCAAGAGCAACTCTAAATAATTGAACAAGAATATTAATTAGCTTTGTCAACTGATGCAACTCTAAATAATTGAACAAGAATATTAATTAGCTTTGTCAACTGATTTAATTTACTACTCGCCGGCATTATCGAGTGTATCCGGATGGGCAGGACATATATAATAATTATTATACATATTTGGGTCATTGTTTTAAAATTAAATAATGCCATTTGCCCTGGGTATAGGAAAAGGGAAAATGTAAGTGTAATGCTTTCTGTGTGCTCTGTTCCCACAGGATGAATACAACTAATGGATAATAAAAAATAAATAAAAATCAGAGTGGTAAAAATGCATAATTTGACCTAAAAATACGACCAGTTTTATATAGATTTAAAATCAAAATTACTATAAGTACGTGTAAATTATGTACTGACAAATGGGGTTGACGGGTGCTGTCCCACGAACGAAGCGCACCAAATCAGGGAAGCCCAAATGAAGCCCAAGTGAGGTTCCATCCCAAAACCAACCCAAAATTAATTAATGGTAGAAGGAGTAACCCACTAGGCTTAAACTCAACTGGGCTGGGTGACGGGTACGTCATTGCACGATTGTATATTCTAACATCCCCTCACTTGTGAGTCCTTCGGAAGCCCAAGCCCAACTGGGTTGGGTGACGGGTACGGTCCCACGAAGGTCCAAGCCCAACTGGGCTGGGTGAACCGGCTCCCCTCACTTGTGAGTCCTTCGGAAGCCCAAGCCCAACTGGGCTGGGTGACGGGTACGTTCCCACGAAGGCCCAAGTCCAACTGGGCTGGATGACGGGTACGGTCCCACGAAGGCTCAAGCCCAACTGAGCTGGATGACGGGTACGGTCCCACGAAGGCCCAAGCCCAACTGGGCTGGGTGAACCGGCTCTGATATCATGACAGAAATTGGGAAAAAACGGGTGTATGAAGCCCAAACGATGAAAAGCCCATATGAAGCCCAACTGGGCTGGGTGACGGGTACGTCATTGCATGGTGGTCCCACATAGGCCCAAGCCCAATTGGGCTGGATGAACCGACTCTGATACCATGACAAACGGGGGTTGACGGGTGCAGTCCCACGGACGAAGCGCACCAAATCAGGGAAGCGAAGCCCAAGTGAGGTTCCATCCCAAAACTAATTGGTGATAGGAGGAGTAACTCACTAGACTTATAAATTAGGCATATTTTTTCTGTATAGATGATGTGAGACAACTTATAAGTGTATATTCTAACATGTACCACATGCGACTGGATAATCAGTCACCACCTGCCGTGTTCTTAGAAGTCAATCACCTCGCTACAATTTTTAATGAACTCTAATTTAAACATTGTAATATTCATTTTAATTTGCAGGATGCAATGTGAAAGTATTGATATCAGGGCTTAATTAGTTCGCATTATTTATAATAATCAAATCTACGTACAATCCATATTTCTTTGGTAGTTGCAACAAAGAGCGGGCAAGTGGCTAATTAAATATTCAGGCATAAGACAATTTAGTTCTCACTTTGGTCATTATATTATACAATATTAATATAATGTAATAAGCAACTATTCTTCTACATCTATTTCATTTCACCAAACACTGTCCATTTGCACTTGACTTTGCACAGTATTGATCTCTCGCTAATATGGCAGATGCAGCGGTGGAGTTCCTGCTGACTAAGGTGACGGAGGTGCTGACATGGTACACGGATCTGATAACGGGGGCAGAGAACGACCTGCAGCAGCTGAACAATGAGCTGGGCATGTGCAAGTCCTTCCTTTTGGACGCCGCCAGAAGGCCCAAGAAGGAGGAGTTTTTCCGGGAGATTGAGAGGCAGATCCGAGAGGTGGTCTACGATGCCGACGACACCATCGACTCCTGCCTCACTCAGGCCAACAGGGCCAAGGCCAGGGCCAAATCCAAGTCCAATAAGCTCTCCAAGTGGGGGAAGAAGGTCGTCGACAAGGTTGACATCAGCTTGCCTCTTCAGGTCAAGGCCCTGAGGACCGACAAAGTGGCCCCCGTCCTCGAAAAGATGAAGCTCTACCTGGAGACCCACGACAGCGGATCCGGCTCCTCCGGCACCACCTATGATGAGTCTCCCTCACATGCGTTTGAGGTTAATTTTATCCTATTCCATTTGCCCTTTTTCGACTTCGCTAGCTCTAGTTGAAAAGTTGTGATTCACATTGTCGAATGTTACTATGTTAATTGCCGAATTAATGCAAAACATAGACCAAACAGAATCACTATTAATTATTATGTGGGGCTATCTGCAGCTGCCGTCATTCCGGAAAGACAATGTGGTAGGTCTGGAAGACGAGGAAGAAAGGATAGTGAATTGCCTGCTGGAGCCTTGGCACGAGCTGGACATCATCCCCATCATCGGCATGCCCGGCCTTGGCAAGACAACTATCGCTTACAAGGTATACGAAAGCCAAGTGATCCGGCGAGAGTTCCCCGTGCGCATATGGGTGTACGTGACTCAGGTCCTTAACCGCAAGGACGTTCTCCTCACCATCCTCAAGGACTTCACTAGCCAGGACCTGTCCGCCTGGACGGAGCACCAGCTCACCCAGGAGGTCCGCCGGCGCCTCACCGGTGCCGGCCGCTTCCTCCTCGTGATGGACGATGTCTGGAGCGTCGAGGTCTGGAACGCCATAAGCGATGTCCTCCCGATGCGCAACGACCGCGCAAAAGTCCTTATCACCAGCCGTTACACAAAAGTCGGGGACCACGCCAACCCGGGTCGGGACCTTCTCCAGCTCCGGCGAATGCGTGAGGACGAGAGCTGGAGGCTCCTCCGCCTCCAGGTGTTTGGCCGGCAGGATTACGACTGCCCCAAGCCCCTGCTCAACACCGGCAGACTCATCTCCCAACAGTGCAAGGGCCTCCCCCTCGCGCTCGTTGTCATTGGTGGTGTGCTGCTCGACCACCTCAAGAAGACGAGGAACCTTAACCTCGTCCGCAACGAGTGGCTCGAGGTGTCAAACAACGTGGGGGAAAACGTCAAGAACAATAAGGATGTCAACGTGCGTGAGATTGTTGAGATGAGTTACAAGAGGTTGCCCGATTACTTGCGCGACTGCTTCGTCTACTTGGGGGTGTTCCCGGAGGATTACAGGATCCCGGCCCGCACGCTCACTCATCTGTGGATAGCCGAGGGCTTCGTCAGGGCAGAGGATGGGAAGAGTCTCGAGAAGACTGCACGGGACTATCTACAGGAACTCATCGACCGCAACCTGGTGCAAGTGACCGAACGGAATCCCAACGACGAGGTCAGGACGTGCCAGGTTCATGACTTGGTTCGTGCGCATTGTACGCTAAAGGCCGCCGACAAGGAGCTCAATCTGTACCAGGAGATAAAATTGTCGAACGAGGGTGTCTTCACGACTTCAGACATAACGAAATGCCGGCGCTTGTGTATTCACGCCGGCCTCCCAGAGTTCCTTTCCAGACGGCAAAAGGGTCCACGCGTGCGTTCCTTTCTGAGCTTCAACAAAGCTCCCGTCGACCTCGACGCCAAGGACACACCTGTGATCCTGGACTTGTTCGACCTGCTCCGTGTGCTGGACACGTCGTCCATCAAGTTCCAGCGCTTTCCAGAAGGAGTCACGAAGCTGATGCATTTGAGGTACATCACCATTTCGGTTGAGGATGTCGATGCCCTCCCGCCAGCCATTTCCAATCTTTTGAACCTGCAAACGCTCGTCGTCAACACCAGCTCCAACTTCCTCACGATCGAGGCCAACATATGGGCCATGACTCAGCTTAGGCACATAATCACGAAAGCCGCCATCATACTTGACGTCAAGGGGGGTGAAGGTGAAGCCGGGGAGAATCTCCAAACGCTCAGCAGGTTGGCCCCCGACTACTGCACGGAGAAAGTCTTCGATAAAGTGCGCAACTTGAAGAAACTGGGCATCCGCGGAAAATTAGCTATTCTTTTCGGCGTGAAGAGGTCCCTCGAAGAACTGCGCCTCCTGGAGAAGCTGAAGCTTGTGAACGATAAATCCGTCTCGGATCGAATTTACGTCTTTCCGGAGTACAATTTTTTCCCGGCGGGGCTAAAGAGGCTGACGATAACGTCCACGCACCTGGACTGGACACATATGTCGAAGCTGGCGAGGATCAACTCTCTTCAGGTGCTCAAGCTGAGAGGGAAGGCGTTCGTGGGGCGAGATTGGAGGGCAGTCGGGCACGGATTCCTCAATCTCCACTACTTATTGATTCAGGACACAGATTTAGCAGTGTGGGAGGTCACACCTGATTTCTTTCCCAGTCTCAGGACGCTTGTGCTTAGGAGCTGTGACAAGTTGGTGGAAATTCCAGAGGGTGTGACAGAGAGCCTGGAGATATTGGACATGGATGGTGTGTCCGCATCAGCTGTCAACTCTGCCAGGGATATTGAGATGCGAAAAGCGGCATCGAAAGGACAATGTGAATCCAGGTGGGAGAATAATTTCAAGCTCATTGTTGGTCTAGGATGTCAGGGACAATCGAAAGCCTGATCTAAGGTACATTTATGCCTTGCTGATTTAATTCATTGCAGTCACATGCTTTCTGTCTTAGGTTAAGTAAGGATGTTTCCCTTTTCGTCGAAGATAAAATTTAGTTCACTATCTAACCATATATTTCTTCAATTAGCATATACCTGGACCAGTTCATACTAGGAAGGAGACTGAATGTGATCTTTCAAAAGTCAAAATGATGATGTTCTCACCTATTTATTACATGGGAAGATGGATTATAAACAGAGATATCATCAGTGAAGTAAAAGTATAGGAAGTGTAAAGATTAATTCATTTAACTTTTGAATTATTATTTGAAAATTACTAGAGTAGAAATACACATGATTTTAAGTTTCCGTTTCGTTTTCGAGAAAGCAATCTGAGTTCAAATATGAGAAGCTTGGGTCTCTAGTGCTGCAGAGTATTTATTGTTTCTAAGTAGTCACCTGTATTTAGTCTTACTGATTCCTGCAGGGTACATGACACTGAAAAATGAAGTCGAAACAATTTATCAAACTCCGATGCTCATCACCTCCCGCCCGAGTAACTGCATGCAGCATTTTCTTTGTGTTCATGATGCTGTTGGACATCAGTGTTGTTCATTTTTGTCTTGTTGCCTTATGCAGTTTGAGTAATTATTAATATGTATGATTCGAGTGTCTTCGATGCTCGTCTTGTTCAATAAACTGTAAGACGTTCCATGTTAATCAATAATGTTGCTTAAATCTTTCTGTTCAATGGAATTACAAGAGAATGATTAATCTCGTTTCGATTTTTCCTCACATTTGTTATGCATTCTATTTTACCATTATTTTAAATTAGTATAATTAAAATATATTTCATCTTTCAATACATGTGGAACTAATAATCATCAGGTGCATCGCAAGTGCGATTGCCTCGTTTAACGCAAAGAAAAAAAAAATCTATGTCGAACCTTTGTGAAGAAAACTCATCCAAGCACATGATTCTAAATTAGTGAAATGGACATTAACCTGCAGTCATTTTCTCTATTCATCTGCATTTGCTTTGCCCAGGCCACAGCCAATAGGCTACATTCACCGCTCTAATCCTTGCATTTTACAGGGAGAGACTCCCTGTGTTTGTATAATAATCCAAAATTTCTCTTACATCACATCCTATGGATTTAGCCTTCTTAGAAACCAAAAAGATAAGAACAATAACACAAAAAGAAGCAGAACAATAAACAAACCTATAATGCATACAGAAAACAAATAAACAAAAGCCAATGTGGTATAAGTATAACATTCACATGATGGCCAGCTGTTGGTGATTTCTTTGACCATTTCAATGTCAGTGTGCTCAACATTCGTAATTCATAAAAGGCCAATGTTTCAACGAGGTTGACTTTATGTATACATTTGAATATACACACATTATAATAATATGTAAGCACTACGCTTGATGTGTGAACAAAAATTAAATAAGCTGAGCCATGCATATGACAGGATCGTGGGGAAAAGTTTGCCGTTGGTTCAGATGGGAAAATGCAGAACCAGTTTCAAAATGTATGATCCTTTACCAACTGCAAAGATAGTTTCTTTTTGGATGTTCTCATCACCAATCAGCACAAAAATCTGCAAAATAAAAGCATAAGGCTACAGTTTCGTCTTTGCAATTCTCTGATTGTCCACCCTATAACTCTTCCCACAGACGGTGTTGCTTTTCCGAAACCCATTTTAGTTGTGTGAATCACAGCCAGAGAGAGAGAGAGAGAGAGAGAGAGAGATGGCATATGCTGCTGTGGTTTCTCTTAAACATACCATTAAACACCTTCTAAGTTCTTCTCGTATTTTCATTCTTCAAGTTGAAGGAGGAGTTTATCAATGAATTATCCAATGAAAAAGAAATGATGACGGCAATAATGATGATGATGTCAGATCAATCTTTGATGCTTGTGATGGAGGGAGCAAGACGAAAATGGTTGGATTATCTGATCAGTTTAGTGAAACCAAAGATCGGTTGCTCGTGGGGAAAGACAGGGTATTTTCACTGTGCGGGCTGGCAGGGATTGGCAAAACGGCACTAGCTGCAAAAATTTACAATGATCCAGCAATCGTGAAGGATTTTGGTTTTCGAGCTTGGGTGAACGTGGGAAGTGACTATCAGCTCGATGAAATCGTGAAACAAATTCGAGCGCAAGTGAATATCGATAGAGATTATTGGATGCATCGCTTCGTGTTGGATAATGTGTGAGACCCACATTTCATTAATGAGTTTCTAGACTCACTTCCATACGATGTTTACCATTGGTGAGGACCAGGCTAGAAAAGGTAGCCATGAGGTCTAACTTTCGACTGAACGTACGCTTTTTGAATAAGCATGAAAGTTGGAAACTTTTTCGTGAAAAGGTGTTCTCCCGGGAACTTTCTTGTACTGCTCTACTCAAAAAGGCCGGGAAGAAGATTGCTGAGAATTGTGATGGTCTTCCTCTTACAATCGTTACGATTGCTGCCCTCTTATCAAAAACCGATATAAGTCTAGAGCTTTGGGAAAATGTTACAGCGGGAGAAAATTCAGTTTTCACGGATGCGTATGATCAAATTTCCAAGGTACTACTTCCGAGCTATAATCACTTGTCTCAACACTTAAAACCATGTTTTCTCTATATGGGAGTTTTTCCTCAGTATTTCGAAATCCCCTGCTCCAAGCTTATCAAACTATGGAGTGCCGAGGGATTACTCTAGCCTATCAAGCTCGGGACATTGGACGAGTTTGCCTGGAAATATTTGAAGGCCCTCCTCTCAATAAGTCTTGTTTTGGTGTGCAAGAAAACCTCTAGAACTAAAAACTGCCGCCAACATTCTGTCTTTTGCCACCTTTGCAAAAGAATAGCTGCAAAAAGCAATTTTCTTCATGTCTTAAACAAGCATGCCGATAGTCTGACGAAAGACATAACTTGTCAACATCGATTATGCATGCACAACAACGTTTATTCCACATCAAGGATGTATACAACTCAATGACATCTATTTCAACTGCACGCTCTCTCTTATGTTTCGGGCCACCTCATCAATACTCGGTCCCCATACCTGCGGATTTGAGTCTGCTTAGAGTACTTGATGCTCTCACGATCTGTTTTTACGAGTTCCCGACACAAGTACTCAAACTAATTAAGTTAAGGTACCTTGCCGTCACTTATAACGGGAACCTACCTCATTCCATATCCAAACTATGGAACCTTCAATTCTTGATTGTCCACACTAATCTGAATATCAGACCCTTTAGAGTGCGTTCGTTTTTGCCAAATGAGATATGGGACATGAAAGAACTGAAGCATATTCAAGTCACGGGAAGCGATCTACCAGATCCTTGTGGCATGTTTTTACCAAACCTCTTGACACTTTTAGACGCTGTACAGAAAATGTTCTGAAAGGGCTTCCTATAGGAATCTGAAGAGACTAGGAATCCGAATTGAATTGACACCATATGCTGTTGAAGTGCCCTTGGGATTCTTCAATCATATTTCTCGTTTTCATGAACTTGAATCAGTTAAATGCATGGTAATGAATCCTACAGTTATTGGGTCCACCCCAATTGCTTCGATTTCAGATTTACCGACAGGTCTTAGAAGGTTGAGTATCAGTGGTTTGGGATATCCTTGGAAGGACATAAAGGAGGTAAATTTATTGCCAAAGCTTGAAGAACTCAAACTGAGATGCTATGCCTTTCTGGGGCCGAAATGGGAAACAGATGACACGGAATTCACAAGGCTTACGTATGTTTTGATTGAAGATACTGATTTGGTACAATGGACAGTTGGAGAAAACAGCTTCCCGATGCTCAAGTACTTGAGCTTAAAGCACTGTTACAGGTTACAACGGATTCCTGAGATAGCTCGGGATTCTGATTCTCTACGCAGAACCAAGATAATTGACTGCAACCCTTTGGTCACAACATGTGCAAAAATGCAAATGCAAAAGTATGAAGTCAATGTTACTATCAAGTCTACATGGGATGATAGGTATCTTAGGAAATGATGTGTAACTTGATTCAGAAGGCTGTTAGTCATTCTGTTGTATTAATTTATGTTCCACAATCCACAATGTAAATCCTCTAATGGCAAATATTCTTTTGAAAAAGTCCCCAATCTATTTGGCATATATTTATTCATGCTCATTATAACCTACTAAATACAAAGCTCAAGTTCCATTATGCAATGTCTCTTGAAAAACTTCAGTACATTTATTTATGCAATGTCTCTTGAAAAACTTCAGTACATTTCCAGAACTCGAAACATTTCATTCCCACACTTAATATAAGAAAATATTCGCTTTTTGTACGAATAAAAAGCTATTACCTCTGGAGGATCAGCTAACCATTTGAGGTGCAGATATGAAAAAGTAAGAACTTGACAACAGAGTGTAAGCCATGGGAAAACCAGTCTTGCAAACGACCGACAAGTCACGATATTGTTATTATTTCCAGTTCATGTATATTTCAATTGGATTCTAATAACAGAAAAATGATTTCTCAACGAGCAGAGGATTGTATTAACAACATCCTGAACTCGTGCACCTTTCCTTAAACATAAAAATCGAAACTGCTCCTAAACATAAGCAGAAGTCCCACCACAACTATGGACAGAAAAGCATTTCTTGAGATTTCAATCTATCCGTACCGTACAGCACCAAACGATCGTGAAAAAGATGGACACACCCAAAGGCATTGGTCCCAGGAGGGCAGTCCAAGGCCGCTTCAAGAATCCGATGGTGCACGCCGTAAGAATCGACCGAATAACCTCCTTTGTGATCATGTCCGGCCAAACAGACCTTTACGCATCTGTACCTGTGAATCATATCCATCACCTCATTATAATTCCACAAGAGGGCCTCGTTGGATGATGCCTCGGGATACAACGGTAGATGACAGCATATCACCACTCTCTGGTCGAGCCTCGTCGAGTCTTGAAGCACTTTATCCAACCACTCCATTTGCTCTTTCCCCACCCCACCATTGAACATGAGAAACCTTCTCTCCTGGCCCACGAGCCCGTTTGGAGAATTTTTCTCCGCATTCGGATTTCTCTCCTTTAGAATATTTAAAGCCTTTGATGTTTTCGGGTGGTCCTTGGGCCAGCCGATAGCGCTGATGTCATAACCGTCGAGAACCACGAACCGGTACTCTGGGACTGGTGAAAATTCGAAGTACGCGAGATGGTTATGGCTATGAATGTCGAGTAAAGGCAGTAACTTTTCGCGAGGGAGGTTGTAGAGACAGTGGTTCCCGATCATGTGATAAACAGGCCCTTGGAAAACGTTGAACTCGTCGACTATTTTCTCAACGGCGGTTAAAGATTGATCCTTTGGGCAGAACCCATCTACAATATCCCCAAAGTTGATCGCAAAATCGACCTTTTTGTCGTTCCATTTTTTTACGGCTCTTTGCAGCACAAGGTGACTGTGCCTGTAGTAACGGGGGACACCAAGAAACGAGCGCCCGTCGGGAATATCGGCATATTGGACATCAGATATGACTCCAAAGGAAACTAGGGGCTTGTTTTCTTGGGCATTCACAAATCCATTAGGATATCCCATATGGGGCAGATAAAATGGGGGTTCTGTAGATTATGGAAAAATTTATGATGTTCATCATTCAAGTAACCAAAAGCTGATATATTTATGATTCATAGTTAAGGTAGACAACAAACTGTTTGAACCAACTTTTTCGGAAATAAACAAGAAAACAGACACTGGAAGCGTGTGGTTTGGAAAAAGATGAAGCTTTTGGTATTTCAAATAGACTCAAACAAAGATTCAATCGATTATGCAATGGATAATTGACACGTGGACCTCCCTCAAGTGACATAAATTGATTTATTCAATATGTAGCTCAGATTGCCAAAAATTATGCAGATGAAGACGCGCAAGAGGAAACTAATCTCATGGAATTTTAAAAAGCATTCTTGATCCAAATAAATATTACATGCATATATAGGGCGAAAAGTATGAAGCGATCAAAAACATTGAGACAGAGAGGAAATTGCAATAATACATGAAAAAACAAGAAAAGGAAGGAACAGCATATATTGCGTCAAAGAATTAAATGTAGCGCTACCTTTATATTCAGAAATTGCAAGAGATCGGGGTGCTTAAAGGATTGGCGTCGGAGAATATTATATTATGTGTGTGTCTCTGTGTTTAAAGGCGTCGTAGGCACGTTATTTGGTTGTTAAAGTTGTTCCCTTCCCCCTATATAAACTCGGAATATATATTTTGTTAATGAAGAAACCTAACACATTAATGAAAATCTTTATTTTTATCCCATCTTATTATTTATTTATTTTGCTTTGTCATAGAAAATTTATAGCGGTTACGAAATTTTACTATTTTCAGTTACAATATTTGATAGACAATAATGAAACTTACTACATGGCAAACTCTCATGCTTTGAAATTCTATTGGCAAAAACTCATGTTTTGGAGTTAGATTTGAATATAAATTAATATTTTTTATCATACTAGATCATAATTGATTTTTTCTTTCTTTACTTCTACAATTAGTTGCCATATAAATTATTTTATATTTCTTTTTCCTATATTACCATACAATACATTTCGTTTTCTTATTTAATTCATGCATTAATTATTATAAATGTTTCTTCTTCTTATTTTAAGATTTTATAACTTTTTTGTTTGTATTTTATTTTTATATATGATATATCAAATTAACTATCTTTTAACGATTTTCGATTTGACATCCATATTATATATATATAATACAAAATAGTAATATATATTCTTTTAAAAATGATATTTATTTCAAATCTAATTGGTATGTTATCAATCTAATAAAAATAAATAATTATTTATCTAAATTCTAAAATTTCATATAAAGTTAGAAAACTCTGAAGCACAACGGATACTACCCTTGATGTATTAGGCATCTAATGAAGTAAAAAATTAATCTATTTTGCTTCATATTAAACAAACATATTTCTGCACTTATGCATATACATATCACCATATTATTTCTATTTATTTAATATATTTATTCTTTTTACTTAATAATAGTAAATAATGTCGATAATTTTATATGATATAAGTAAAAAAAATTCAATATGAGTTGACATTTTTATTTAATATACGAGTGTTTAATTATTATGATTAAAAAATATAATTTGACAATTTAATTAAAACCCAAAATAATGTTTTATATAAAATTAAATTATTTTAGTTTAAAAAAATTAATATTTTTTACATATGCTTCATAATCCAGCACTCATGTATGTACACGGGTATTGTACTAATATTTTGTTAATGAACAAATCTAAAACATTAATGAAAATCTTTATTTTTATCCCATCTTATTATTTATTTATCTTGCTTTGTCATAGAAAATTTATAGCATCTAAAGGGTTACGAAATTTTACTATTTTCAGTTACAATATTTGATAGACAATAATATAACTTACTCATTTTTTTATTAATAAATATAAATCGGTTTTGTGAAGCCAACAGTTGGTTCTATAGTGGAGTCAACCTTCTATATACAACCTTTTATATATGACTCTTTTTGACTTTTCTAGATAATGAAGTAACTTACATAATAGATCGATCGACAATTTGTTAGTTTTTCATCCACTGTCACATACTCGATGTTACCACTCTGTATTTATTTTGTCAACATAAATTTTCAAAATTATCTCGAGGCAAATAAAATAAAATATTCTCATATTATTTTATACTAAAGATTTTATATGTAATCTTGTATATTTGTGTTTATCCTTCATTTGCTCATTTATGTTATATTTAATCATTTATGTTATATTTACAATTTTACTTTAAATTACGGTATTTTTAAAATTATCACTTTAGTTTAATAAGATACATACTATGGACATTACAATTTTTTTAAGTCAATAGTTCATTTAGTGGCTTGAGACCACTAATTTATTGTTTTAAAATCATATACTTGACTGTATCCACAAGCTTTTATTAAATTAGTTTAATTCTTTACTAAAAGGTTGAGTTAAAAAATGAATACATGTTAAGTGAAGTATTGTTTAATTTGCTTAACAATAGAAAAAATATATATACCTAATAAATTGGTAACATCCCTCGTGTAATTATTGGAGTCTGGTTTGGTTGTTTAACACAAAAATAAATAAACAAATAAATATATACCTAACAAATTGGTAACATCCCTCGTGTAACTATTAGAGGCTTGCACAGCAGAAACAATTTGGTTCGACGGTATCTATTTAATCAAGAATGCTTGTGACCCTTATATAATCCAGAATTCTTGTGCTGTGACTAGGTCACTCCAAATCTTGCAAAATTAATCAAAATCTTAAGTTTACTATATGTAGTTTGACTCCGAAGAGCTAATAAGAGATGAGATTAAACTTTCACAAATCCTTATGGTATAACCTCTTGATCAATATATTAATATTACCATCACTATGATGAACAAGACATTACACCATTGAGAATGACAAGCCAAATTCACCAGAGAACAGACAAAGCAGCAAAAACATCTAAATGTTTCTCCAAACACCATTTATAGTATGCCATGAAAAAAGAAATCTATCACAACAATATAACAAGGCAAGTTGAGAATAAAAGTCTTCAGGAATACAACACAAGAATTAATACAAACGCAGACCGCCGAATTATTCCAGGCTTGTACCTATGGCTATGTACATTACCGGGTCTTGGAATTTTGAAATTTCAGCAACTACTTCCGAAAGCACCACCTCTGCAAAACTTTGAATGACCATGTACTTACAGGCACGGTGCAAAATCAAGAGCTCCCCTTTCAATAAAAAAAGGAAGACTCGGTATCTAATCAGACTCAGTGTCTAATCAGACGATCCCTGGTGAAGAAAGAGTGCCTTAGTGCTTCTTCAGCCGACAACCTTTCAACTGGATCATATCTCAAGAGCCCTTGTAGTAAATGAATAAGGTCTCCTGCCGAATGATCCACATGCTGCATGATCAAATTCTGGAGCCTCGGCAACTTCTGAACAGCCCTCATACTATCTCTAGTTGCTGCTCCCTCTGGCCAGTTAAGTCGACCCCTTCTAACATACTTCTCTGCATGTCGACTGCAAACACGAGAGAAAGATCAATGAAACAAGCACACGGGAATTAAGAATACCCCATTATATAATGTAAATTATAAGAGGCTTACTCTGCTTTTTTCAACATGTGCTGGGGTAAGGCTCCGAGTACCCTTTCCATCATTGCAAGGTGCTCCAAGTTTTCATGGGTTTGGAACAAAGCTTCGCCCTATGGAAAGAGGCACATATTGCTTATTGATGGGGAGCAAAACACAATATAAATCACAACTCTACAGGGAACAATTAGATTACCGAGCAAAGTTCAACCAGGATACAACCAACGCTCCATATATCACAAGGGTAACTCCACCCAAGTCCTACACGGGCAAAGACAAAAATTAAGTCAGAATTTGCAAAAGTACAGTAAATAAAACAATGAATACATCGCCGGGAAACCCATTACCAAGAATAACTTCTGGGGCTCTGTAGTGCCGTGTAGATACAATATATGACTGGTCCTGCCTGTCATATGTTGTGCTACCAAAATCAATTACTTTGATAGCACTCGACTTTGGGATCCTCTTGTAATACGAGTTGTCCTTCGGAGACCTTGAAGAACCCTGGAGATAATGCAATAAATAAGAGCCTCATAACAACATATATTAGCTATGCACTTCCAGTGGTATAAGCTGGCAAGACCATACACAAACTACCTTGTAATCAGGAACTTTTAAATATTCCGGTGACACAAGAAGAATATTTTCAGGCTTCAAGTCCGTATGAATGAGGTGCAAATCATGCATAACTGAGGTGATAAGAAACAATCAACACAAAGCACAACACCAACCAATTAAAAAAACCGTCCTTAAATGGAAAAAAAAATGAAGTGCATTACATTCTTCCTCAATTTGAATGGCAGATAGAAAGAAAACTACTGTTCAAAAACTAGTGGTTCATTAAGCATTAGTCTAAATGAATGAATCAGAAAATATTTACACACATGCTACACATTCCAACAGTTGTCTGCCAATCTCACGGACAAGATCAATGGGAAATGAGCGATAATTGTTTTTGCGTAGGAAATCGTATAAGCTTGGTCCAAGCTTCTCAAAGACCTGTTGAAACCATTTAAGTCCACGGATTGATTTAAGCCCCATAGTATTTGTTAGGATGGGGAATTTAAGCCAACAAATCAATCATATACTTACAATACAGATATGGTTACGATAGTCAAACCAGTTCCGTAATTGAACACAACTGCAAGGAATAAACTTGTTCAACCATGTGATCACTTTACAAAAGCTAAGGGACTATATGTTAAGAAAAGACGAAACCAAAACTCACCGATTGCCACCCTTGTCATGTCTACAAAGTTGTTGGAGTACTTCTACCTCAATCATTGCTGCTTCACGATATTTCTTAATGCCACGGACAATTTTGATGGCTACCATTTCTTTTCTCTCCCTGTCCCAACACTCTAAAACCTGACCAAAAGTACCTGTAAACATAATAAGGTTAGTCAGAAACCGCACCCAAAGGCCAAAAGTGATAGCAGTCAGTACAATCAATACAAACTGCTGAATGAACATACCTTCACCCATCTTGCCGTGAATCTTATCTGTAAATAAGCAAATCAAAAACCTCATAAGTAAGGATCAAAGTTGTCCACTAAATAAAAGAACAACGCATCATACTTTTCTGTGAATAAATCTTTACAGATCATTTTAAAACTTAAGATGGCAACATAAACATGATGCTATATCAAGAAGTATTGACCCAACACCAAATCAAACTTTAATATATATAACTAAAGTGACCAAATCCAATTCATCCATGAAGTCCGAAAATCAAGGCATAACAAAGAGAATGTGTTCTGATGGTAGTGAAAGTAATTACAGCGAGAAGTTAAATTTTCTCCGATCTCAAACATATAATGGCCATCTTTGTCATCTTCTCGCCATGGGGGTGAACCATTTCGAGCAAGACCCTTAACAAATAGTGAACTAGGATGATCCGTGAGTGCCCTCAAAGGTTCATAGCTTGTCACAATTCCAATCTCTTGTCCAGAAAACAATCCTAGCTGAGCCTACACACAGGCACCCATTCACATTTTTTTCAATATAAAAGGTTGTTGTTAATTTTATTTACCTCCTCGAGACCACTGTGCACCATGCCACCACTACATCTCACATCAAACCAAGAATAGCAATAGAAATCCCAAAATAAGGGTGAATACTCACATCACAAAAGTACCATACAAAATCAAAGTCATAATAAACAGTGAAGACTCATCCTTTATAAGATAGATCATAAATTCTGACTAATAATTTCAAAACTTAGGAATAAAATAAGGAGGTCTTCTAAGAAAAAAAGGTCCAGCACTCCATGAAAATAAGTCAGCTCGAAGTAATATAATACAGACAATACAACCAGAATTGTCTCTTCAAAAGTCATAAAAGATAAATATAAGAAGCAAGATCAGATCTGAGGTCGTTTAAAATAATTAGGAATTAGAAAATAAGAATTCTTCGAATCAATCAGAAACCAAACAAAACATAAAACCACACCAGCAAGGCGAATTTATTACTGAAATAAAAAGCCATTATCCATACCTGACCCAATAATATTCATAAATTCGCATCAGATCTACAAAACAAACCATAAAAAAAAAGGAAAAGGAAGAAGACCAAGATTTTAAGATCTTATAAAAAAAATACCTTAGGGGCTTGAGGAAGAACGTCCCATCCCAACCGCGGCCTTTTCCTCGGCCGCCGATCCATCGTCAGCTCGGTCACGCGCTCCATCTCCATCTCAAGATCTGGCGAAAAAATAAGAAAGAAAAAAAAAATTCTAGAGAGAGAAGTATGAGATAGGCAAGTCAATAATGCAGGCAATACGATAATGAGAAAAACAATCGGACGCAACCCTAATATTTGACCAAATAACGTGCGCCAGTCGGTTCTGGGGAAATCGGACCGTTCACGTGGCGTTTTTTAAGCCGCTGCTTTTGTTGATGATTCCCAACTTATGCTTAAATAATAATGACATGATTGGTATGATGGAATGGAATTTCATAGGAATGGAATGAGTTGAAGAATGGAATAATTATGGGAATGGAATGAAACATGTTTTGTCATTGATGCGTTTGGTATGCAGAAGGAATAAGACTGGAATGGGATGACATTATCATTTTTTATTATTATAAATAAAAGCTTTTTTTAAAAATAATATACTTTTAATAAATTATGTATAAATGCTCTTTTAATAATATATAAAAATAAAATAATATATTTTTAATAATATATTTTTAATAATATATAAAAAATAAAATAATATATTGTTTAATGACATAAAAATTAATATATTTTTAATAATATATAAAAATAAAATAATATATTTTTAAATTATA